CCAATAAGAAGTCCTAGCCATCTGGCAAACTGTTTTATAATTAATAAAGTCTCAGTGTGCTTATTTGGGACTGAGAAGTGTGGTGGGACCTGGCGGAACAAGAAAAACCTCCAGCAACACCAAAGTGGATAGAATGATGAGAAGGATGGCTGTGTGCCTGCCTCCCAAAAGGCCTGGCCCTAGCCATTTGCCTCACAGCTAGGTGTTCAGTTGGGGTAATAGCCCAGGTTTTCTGGGGGGATGAGTTCTAAGTAGACTCTGAATTGAAGCCACACTTCTAAGAGCCTCTGTTGGCTATGGAACTGTCACTATGGAGAAACGGGATGAATGAACACATGTGTGAGGGCAGGTCCTAAGGATGTGGAGGTGGTCATCCCAGCCATGACAGTTCACAGTACTGTTTGCTTTTTCCGTAACCCTGTGTCTTGGCACATAGAAACATATTCATGATGCCAAATGCTATCTTAGAATTTTGACAATAAAAAGGCTATCATTAGAACTGAGCCAATCCCAGTGCCCTAACCTAGACTCTTCCTAAAGTGTGAGCTGAGTCTTCCAGTATTTAATTAGAGTAATAAAAGTATGCCTTCATGATATTAGGGCACTCCAAGTAAAGTAATTCAGAGAGGGTCTCAGTGCTTAAAAGCTTTTATAGGGGCTTAATTACAAGAGGGCCACTATATCTGGCTTTTTTTTTTAACTGTGCTTTCTGCAGCTTGAACTCAGATTCTCATGCATCCAAGGCAAGCCTCTTATTGAACTGAGTTATCTGTTGTGACTTTCAATTGTCTATAAGTGCAGTTTAGAAAGTAAATCAAGCAAAACAAGTGTATATTTTAAAAAGTGGTAAAAGCCATTGTTTCTAAAGGATCTTTGCAGCAGATCTAATATCAGGCCGGAATGGAATGAGTTTGGTTTAGAAGTGTGCATCCAACTCCAACTCTCAGCATTCAGAGAATGGGAGCAGAGGCAGGCTCTTCAGGGTCGCTTTCATTCTTCTCTTGAAATGTGTGTTACTTGATTCTCTCCTTCCACAGCTGTGTGGATCCTAGGATCCAACTCAGGTCATCAGACTTAGCAGCAAGTACCTTTACCCACTGAGGCATCTTGCTGGCTCCAGGATCTCTTTCTTGTCTCAGATCTACATCTCAAATCATGCACCAGAATCCGGTCAGCTTGATGAGAGCTCTCTGGTTCTGCCTTAACAGACACAGTGGAGCCTTCACTGGATGCCTTGCTGAAGATCTGGGTAACTTCTCGCTTGGTTATGATGAGAAGGGGAGCAGTGTCCACTCAGGGCATAATTGACACTTTAATTTTCATGCCTCCAGGAGGCCAATGTCACTGCCCACCCCTTCCATAAGGTCAGCTGGAGACTACAGGGAGGTAAGAGTGTGGACTGGCTTCATAAATTCCTCCGGAGGTGCACACAGGTCAGAGGACTTGCTGACAATGTCTCTCTGCTAGAATGCTTGCCTTTCTAGCAAACTGGCCAAAGGTAGAGAAAGTGCTCTTTGAAGCCTAAAACTTTAAAAAAAAAAAGAGAAAGAAACACCAGGCTTCTTTATAAGCAGTAAAGAGAGTGAACTAGATGTACTGAACAAGCAGAGACATTGGCTTCCAAAGGCTGCCTGCTCCATCCTTAAAGAGAAGAGAGAGCAGCAGGAAGTACACTTTCAGGAAGAGCATCCTCAGAAAGGAGGGCAGAATCTGAACACAATGTCATGGAGTGAGAAAGCATTTGTTTATCCAATTCCTCTTCCTGTTCCAGAAGGGGCTCCTTCAAGGTGGATTGAATCTCACTCATCTTCATGGGTCTTAACTCCTCGTAAAGCTTAAACTGCACCCTAGCAATGACTTAGCATGGTCCTTACAGTGTTGCCACTTACGTAGATGGAAATAATATTAGTATCATGGATTAGGTACAGATGCAAAAGGCGAAGGGTCCCATTTGCTGTGACCCCAAACTTTCATCACGCCTGCTTCCTGCCTTCAGCACCTGTCATGCATTCATTGCTCGTCTGTGTGATCCTGAAGATGCACACCTTTCTCCTAGAAGATTCACTTAGGTTTTCCCTTTACCTTGAAAGGTTCTAGGAAGTAATCACACGTTGTGCCAGTCTCCTGTCCTGATACTACTAAAGCAGGCCTTTGTTTTCATCTAAACAAATTCCCGCTTCATCTGATGGGCAAAATGGGCTGCAGTCAAGCAAAATGTGTGTTCTTCCGCATGGCACTATGCAGAATTTTTCTTTCTTTTTCAATTCTTGGCTTGGACTTCTCCCTTCCTTCCCTCCCTCCCCCTTCTTTTCTCCTTTCCTTGGCTCCTCCCCTTTCTCCATCCTCTTCCGGTGATATAGGGAGAACATTTTCCCCTATCCTGTGCAAAGAGGCAGAGGAAAGCTCCAGGCATTTAGATTGGAGCAAATACACCCTACCAAGTTGGGCACAGCACTCTTGTATTGCAAGTTCCTAGGGTGGATCTTACAGCCAGCCTCTGAGTAGCATGCTGATGCTGAGCATTACACAGGAGACCCTGTTGGATGGTACATACATACATCAAGGAGATCTCAGACCAATGTGTCTTAGTTATTTTTCTATTGCTGTAACGAGATACCATGATCAAGGCAACTTATAAAAGAAAGAGTTTACTGGGGGTTTATAGTTACAGAGGACTAGAATTCATGGCCTTTGTTGTAGGGAGCATGGCAGTAGGCACACAAGCATGGATTTGGAGCAGTAGCTGAGAGCTTGTATCTTGACCCACAGGCACGAGGAAGAAAGAGCTAACCCGGCATAATGTATGCCTTTTGAAACTTCAAAGCTTGCCCCCTCCTCTAACAAAGCCACACTTCCTAAGCCTTTCCAAAAAGTTCCACCAACTAGGCCTGTGGGGGCTATTCTCATTCAAGCCACAACTACAAAAGATAGTGAATACCCATTCCACCTTTTGTGTGCTTATTTTATTTTGTTTTCTCTGAAAAACATCCTGCAGAACTAGACTCTATGATAAAAATTTACATAGTATTAATTCTGTTTCACAGCTATCTTCATATCATATTATACCATTTACAGGAAGGGCATTGCAAATGGTGCTTATATTGCAATGACCATAGACAAGCCTTCAAAAAACAGGATTGGGTTTTATGAAATACATTTGGCTTTCAGCTTCCTCTTGTTGCAATCCAAGCAGCAAGGGACAATGGAGCCTGTTGGTAGGTGTAGCAGGATGAACACATGGACACCCTAGAAAGTAGGAGCAGGGCTTAGAACAGAGCGGGGCTGAGGGACTGTTAGATTAGCTCAAGACTGACAGAACGAAGATGACACATAGATCTCCTACATCATCGGCGCAGATGAGGCTCATTTTAGGTATTGAAGAAAGTACTACTGAATGATTGAATGGCCAGTCCAATTTAGTGTCTGAGGTGGTGTTTCTATAGTTACACGAGGAATCAGTTCAATAATCATGTCTCCTGCTCAAGATTCTGTTTCTGACTTGGGCCTGGTGCTGCAGGCCTGTAATTCCAACTACTCAGGTATTTGAGGCAAGAGGATCATAAATTCAAGACATGTCTAGACTACAGAACAAGTTCAAGGCCAGCCTGGGAACCTTAATAGGATGTTGTCTCAAATAATAAAGCCAGACAGTGGTGGCACATGCCTTTGATCCCAGCACTCAGGAGGCAGACACAGATGAATCTCTGTGAGTTCAAGGCCAGCCTGTTCTACAGAACTAGTTCTAGGACAGCCAAGGCTACACAAAGAAACCCCATCTCAAAAAAAACCCAAAACTATAAAAATGGGGGTTTCAGGATGCAACTTAGTGGTAGGACCCTTGTTTCAAATGTATGAGGGCCCAGGTTCAATTTCTAGTACCACAAACTGTTTCTTCATCTCCAACACGGGTAGATGTTATATCTCTAATGTGTATTTTCTTTCTTCCTTCCTCTTTTTTGTTTTGTTTTGTTTGTTTTTGTTTTTTGTTGTTGTTGTTTTGCTTTTGTTTTTCAAGTCAGAATTTGTCTGTAGCTTTGGAGGCTGTCCTGGAAATAGCTCTTGCATACCATCTGTAACTCACAGAGATCTGCCTGCCTCTGCACCCTGAGTGCTGGGATTAAAGATATGCGCCACTACCACCCTGCTCAAAAATGGTGTATTTTCTTTTAAAATACTTCCCTGCCTTTTGTATTAAAGAGGTGGAATAAGTCAGAAGGAAAATTTACATGGTTCATGTGATTGAGGGCTTCCCCTTCCCTGCTATACCATTCCAGGCTGGGTTATCACTGGCTGAAGAGCTTGCCCTTTACATTACAGATAAATAAGGAACAGCCCTTCCCTCTACCCACTAGTTAGATTTCCATGTTATGACAAGTAAGCATAGCTCTAATTTCTTCACGTTTCCTAGGAGACAAAATTGTCCCTTGTTAAGAATGACTGCTGTATCTTTAATCATCCATGGAATAATTACTTTTTTAGTTGTAAAATAGACTGTTCAGGCACTATATAGACACTGCCGATGGCTATATCAGGTTTAAATACAGTTAAAATCAGGACTTATACAGTGAGAAAAGAGCAGAAAATACCAAATTAAAGGGTATAGTCAACTGATAATTCTCCAATGATGTAGATAATAAAAGTAATTTCCCTATATTAGATTGCTTTTCTAATTATGCTCCATCTATGATAAAAATAGCCATCATAATCAATTTCCTGAGGACATGCTGACACATGACAGAGAGGACAGCATGGAGAGAAAGAAGAATTTGAGTTTAAATTTTCATGGGCACTCATAAAATGGGTGCCTTAAGCTTAGGTACCAAACTGAATCCAAAAACCGAGCTCAAAAACATGAAGGCTAGGGTGATGGCTCAGTGGTAGAGTGCTCACCCAGCATGTACAAGGCCTCAGGTTTGATCCCCAGCACAGTGGAAACACCAACAAACCCAAATCAGCCAAACAAACAAGGCTTGAAAAATAACAGCAACATCTATACTTACAGGTGAATTAAGGACTTGAGTCCCCGGAAAGTATGTCTTGAAATGGACTTGATATTGTTGTTTTCTATGAATCTGCAAAAGGTGACAGCGTTTTTGGTCAGGCAGCCATAGGAATGGAGGAGTGAGTACCTGTCGTGAGTCAGCTCTGGGGAGAAGGTTGTCTTACTTACAAATATTCTAGATGTGGAAGACCGATAAAAGCATCATCACTGATCACATCAAAGGAGTTGGATGTGAATAACCTGCCCAGAAGAAGCACATGGTGAGAACAGTTAAACTGTCAGCCTGTTGGCTTTCACCGCTTTCGTCCCTCAGAGAGACAGGTGGAGCTTGACACGGATAAATGGCGGTTTTCTGTAGTGTTTATACAGAAAACCTTGGCAGCTTTTCTTCATCCTAGCTGGCTCCTCCTGAAATGCTCAGAGAAGGGATGTTCGCAGCTCCTCTCTGCAGGTCATGGGGGTCAGACATCCTGGGAAGTGTTTTGAGACAGGAGCAGAGCAAGTGGGCAAGAGACAGAGCCAAGTCTACATTTTCTGTGGTACTATGACCAAGGCACTAGTGATCATTTTCATGTGAGAACATGATCTGGAAACTTCTGGAAGATTCTGTCAGGCCACAGTACTGGGGCATTGGGAGTTTAATACTAAGGATTGTAGGAAAAAATGTAGATCCATTATGCTGTGATAGCTCATGACAGGTATAGTGAGTGGTCATGAACAGCAACACCAACGAATCTTCTTCAAGAACAGGGCAGGCTGAAGACGGGAAATGATGACACTTAGGAGGCCTTCGAAGCCATTTTATTACTAAATAATTAAAAGAAACATTTTTACTTGGACAAATATATTGGCATTTTAAAATCCACAAGGATCTGGCTTCAAAATCACTGAGGAAAAAGGACGTCAACAAATTGTCACCACACCCTGGTGAACTCTTTGGAAAAGTTGCCAGTTTTCTAACTGAAAACCTAAAAACAGGTATTTTTAGGCTAAATAATTGGATTGTGTGCCAGACAATTGAATGACAATGTAATAATTCTGTTAGTAAATCTTGTGATATTTTTACATTGAGAGGGTAGGTTAAGTGTAATTGCCAGTAATTTGTCCCTCTGGGCCCATTAACCAAGGAGATTAAAGTAGGAGGTTTTTTTCTGAAGTATTTTTTAAATGAGTAATTTATTTGATAGAATAATCAGGGGAGAGCTAGAGATGAACTGAGTAGGAACTGATAAGTTTTGAAGCTGAAGGATGGGAACACAGGTGTGAATTTTACGGTCAACTCTATTTTTAGAGACGAGATTTTTTTTCCATTAAAAAAAAAAAATGGAGGTAGAGGATGAACCAGCCAAATGAAATGAAATGACCTCTTCTGTCTCTTCCCAAACTATCAATCCTGGAATGGTGTTGAGTTTCCTACTAATCCCTCTTCCCTCTAACGTCATGGCTTTTTGCTCAAGTAATTCACTAGACTCAGAAAAGCCAAGAGCAACTAATCAGACACATATTACAGCCTCTACTTATTAAAACAAAGTACAAGGTTCATGACTTCCATCACGACTCTGGTAATTGTCTCCTTTCATTTTATGGTTTTGGAAAGCAACATGACATTCAGCTTTACTCTTAGGTAAGCTGACACCCAAAGGCTTGAGCAGGCTCTAGGGTTTTCTTTCTGTCCTTAAGGGCAGCCACAGGGATGAAGAAAGAGAAATACAGCCGCAACACATACAGATATGTTGCCCCTCAGGCTCAACAGTTTACAAACTGCCCTGTGGTTCACCAGGGACTTCATCATCCCACACTCCAAGTTTCCGGAAGAAAATGGCTTACATCAGTACCACCCCTGATGTTAAATCAGAAGCAAGTTAGACTGGGAAATATACAAATCCCTTGTCTATGCATGTCACAGAGATGAAAGACCGGATTTCTTTTAGAATTTCTGTTGGCCTGTTAAGTACTTATCCTTAGTATTTGTGATAGCAACCGTTTCATTGTGAAGATCTAACAAATATTTGTTGAACAAAGAGGTCTTCACTTCACACGGCATTGCTAGATAACAATAATGGATGTAATCTTAGAGCAAGGACTTGCCTTTATTTGTTTTTGTGCCCCCAACTCTATCCCATTTCCTGGTTTTGAAAAGAAAAAATGTTCGCTGAATTAAATTTCAAAGATTAAAATCTCTGGCTAAAACTATAACCACAAGCAAAATACTCTAAGGAACGTGGTCAGAACATGATAAAGTTAATGCTACATGGCTAACATAGAAAGAACAAAACCAGCTGAACAAATCTATGCAGGTAGACATCAACACAGCGGTTGTTCTTGGAGGGCAGTTCTAACTGAAATCCAGCACAAAGGCTGTCTCTAGGGGGTAATAACACCTGGTGTCTTAACTTGGGTGTTGCACACAAGGGTGCTTATTTATAAACAAACAAACAAAAAGCCATTGAGCAGTAGTATAGTTGCAATGGTGTCCTTTTCTTTATATATAATTATACGTCAATTTAAATTTTTCTTATAAAAGCTAAAAAAAATTTCCTCTGGCTGAGATAATTATGGATATCAGAGCTTTTTAATTCTACACTCAACAGTGATGTGTATGAACACGGGGCTGTGAAATCGGACATATAGTCTAAATATACTTGAGGGACTTATTCATTTTATTATTCAATATAAACTTGAAAAGACTCATGAACAGACACATCTTATGAGGAAAATGAAACTCAAATTCTTAATTTTTATAGAGTCTTAGAAATACATTTTATTTTGCCAGGAGGTGGTGGCACACACCTTTGATCCCAGCACTCAAGAGGTAGATCTCCGTGAATTTGAGGCCTGCCTGATCTACAAAGCTATTTCCAGGACAGTCAGAACTGTTACACAGAGAAGCCCTGTCTTGAAAATTAACAAAAATACATTTTATTTCAATATTATGATTTATGAATAAATCAGATAAATCAAGTATTCTACAGTCTCTATTAAGGAAAATAGTACCCTCCCTAGCCCATATTCATACACAACAGTTCTGGGTCAAAGCAGAATGAGTGTGTTTGTTTTACATAGCCCTTGGCCCTTTCCATGGACTATTAGGGCAAGAAAGACATAGTTTTCCCCTCAGAGTAGCCAATTCCTAGATTGGGTAGCATTCCATAATCCAAATGACCTGGCTCAAAAAGGTATTGGCTAAGATAATGATACTCTTCTTCAGTTTGTGGAATTGATGACTGAAAGACAAGGTCAGCCTGCAGTGGAGGTAAGGGGAGCTCTTGGGACAATGCCAGTGAAGAAGGTAGTGCATGGACCCATATGAACTGAAGGCATGTGGGGCCCTCACAGAGTGAACGGTGTGTGGGGAGACGGCTCGGTCTATGTGGGATCCAAACAGGGCTTTGCAATCTTGGATGCACTTGGAATCACCCAAGGAACTTAAAAATACTGACAACTCATTCCCACTCTCAAGGATTTGGTTAAATTCTACACTTGGAGGGCGGCCCAAGCTATTTTAAAGCTGCCTGAGTGGTGTGTGCCGCCAGGGTGCATAGAGATGCTTCTGGGTCGTGTGATGCCCCGTGTTCTTGTGGTGACCAAGAGTCCTCTGATCCTTGTAGCAGTTGCTGTGGGGCATGGACAGGCTATGGGTTTCCCTGTCCGCCAAATACACATAATGAGAGGCTGCAATAATATAAATCAGATGGGAACAGCCGCACCACAACAGCAGTGTCCTGGAGGTGTTTGTGGGGACCAATCACAGTCTGAATGCCTTGTTACCCTGAGCAGTGATCGGGGTCTGGGCCAACAGACTTGCCGGGAGATGTCCTAGCTTGTAGAGGTGACTGATGTATGGTTTGCCTCTGTTGCAGTCCCATAAGACCTCTGAAGTCTCTGCCACTTCCTCTGTTTCCGGGAAAGGAAGAAACCAGGCATTTTCCCACTAGCCTTGGTGGGGATAGGTCAGGGGTGTGCCTTGACCTTTCTACTCCCCCCAAGGGATAGCGTTTTTTAATATGTCATGAAACAGGCTGTAGGAGGAGTGGGGATGATATTTTTTTTTAAAGCTAAGGGAGTGTATTTCCTTACCAGGAGGAAGACATGGGAAGATTGCATAGGTGTACTATCAATTCCAGGCGAGCACTGGCTCATTTGAAAATGGTAGTTACTACTTTCATAACACCGCACACTTCTCAGCCTCCTGCCTGGAGCATTTCACATGAGCTTCAGAAAAAACAACTATGTGGAAGGGGTAGATCCAGTATTGCTATCTGTTAGTCAGAAGGAAAGGGCGGTCCAGACAGCTGAGGCTTTGCTAAAAATCTTGAGGCCGAAAACCCCTCAGTCCACCTTTTCCTGATACAGGTGGGCTTCTCAGTATAGGGTCTAGATAAAAAAATGCCAATATTCTGGTGAATAGCGGTCAGCACAGCTCACTCAAATAGACTTACAAGATAGGATTAAGTGATAATTCCTTTTTTTTGGGGGGGGGGGAAGGAATTAAATGATCAATGCAAGTAATCTCAAAATCATGTCAAGATGTTATCACATCAACCTATGTTTTTTAAAAAGTAGAAATTTAAATTTCAATTTGAATGCAATTTGCACATGATATACATATCTCATAAAAGTTCAGGAAAATTGAGAAAAACCTTAAAAAGTAGAGAGCACTGTTATCCTACCCAGGCACTGATATGCACACACTTGACACATATCACATATGTGATATCTGCATGTGTATGATTATCAAGTTGACAAAAACTGTGTTTTTCTTTTCTGTTTTGGAATTTGGGGGTGGGTTGTGTGTAGGGGGTGTGTCTTACCTTGCAGTTAACACTGGTCTAGAATTTACTTTGTACTCCAAACTGACTTTGGACTTGTGATGCTTGTATCCTAGCCTCCCAAGTGCACAGCACCCCAACCTGATAATTTTAATTTCTTTCAGGACAATGTTTTAATAATATAGTTTAATAGATAACTGAGTTTCATATCGTGACATGCTATAATGTAGCCATCTAAAAAGAATTCTAGTTTTTAACTATCTACCACCACCCCTTTTGTATACTAACACCTTATCTGTCTCTCTTTCCCTGGGATGGACTTAGAATAGATTCCTGTTGGGTTAAGAATGTTTTTAAGTCCCTAGTTTTTATGCGAGCTTTGCAAATCACATGTCTGACTGTAGAGTACAAAAAAGGCCTGTTCCATCATCTCTTCACTAACATTTAATTTATCACTGTTTTCTTATGAAA